TTAGGTCATGGATGAGCCCTTTGCCCCTTGCCTTCCAAAGCCACTGGGCAGGCTGTGGAGCTCATACTAAGAACAGGGAAGCTCTGTCTCTTAAAAACCGGTATACGTAACTACACAAAGTCTTTTAAGGACACCCAGGGATTAATACCTGGGTGGCAAAAAGTGGAAATTGATTTTTATATTTTGACTTATCATCATCTACCCTTGCTAGGGGCAGACGAATATATGTTAAGTGGACGGTACGCTCGGTATTTTACAAAGCACAAAACCGACATTCGAAGGGAACCGTATGACTCGCTCAAGGCAAAGAGTAAGCGGCGGGCCGGGATTCAAACCCACGCCTCCTTGCAGAGCCCACGTTCTTCCTCTCTCCCCCCGCTGGCAGGACCATTACGAGTGAAGGCTGGCCAGTATTGGGGGGGGGGGGACAGCCTGAGCCGCGGCAGGGAGGGCGCGGCTCCGCCTGTCCCCAGAGAGCCGCGCGGTCTGCAGCTCAGGTGCGGCCGGGCCCCACGTGCCCGTGTCCACTCCGCTGCCCCGAGTTGCCAGAAAGTCGGTGCCCAGCCCAAAGGCGGGTCTAGAGGCGCCCGGGACACCCGGGGCACGTCTGAGGGCTGCCCGGGCCGAAAACGACAGTGGAAAGCCCCGCGCTAGGCCCGCGTCGCGCCCAGCCCAGCCAAGCCCAGCCCGCCTCGTCAGCACGTTTGTAGCCGCTCGGCCTCACAGTGGGTCACGAGGCGGGCGTGGCCCAGTCAGCCGGCGCGCGCCGCCACCTCCTCCCCTCTCTCTCCCCGCGCGCGCCACGTCCCCGACCCCGGCCCCGCCCCCCGCGAACCACGCGGGGAACCCCAGTGTCGTCACCACCCTCCTGCACACTCGCCTTCCCGCGCTCTCCAGAAAAGACGCGAAGGTGGTGACGTGTCCCGGGCGCCAGCGAGGCTGCGCAGAGGCGTCGGCAACAGAGCGTGCTGCGGCGCCGCCTGGTGGAAGAGCGAGCTGCTAAACCGGCCGGAAGCGGCGGCGCGGGCGGGAGGAGAACGTGACTGACGTCATCTCGCGGGGGAGGGGGCAGGGGGTGGCCGCCGCGTGACCAGTCTCCGCCCGCGGCGCCGGGGCGTCTTTCTTTTTCTCTTCCACCTTTCTGTGGAGTGTGGAGTCGTCTTTATGCCCATTCTTTTAAGGGTATAACCTTGCCTTTTTCGAACTTATCAAAGTTATATTGTTCGTCATAGAAAATTTGAAAAAAAAAAGGGGGGGAAGATATGTACAAAATGAATACTAGCACCACACCCCCTCTTCATATTTACTTCCAGCCTTTCTGTTAAACAGAAAAGCACCATTCGACCCTCAAGGCTGTCAGAAAAAAAACGGTAGAGGAGGAAGAGAGAAGTGCAAACAATAGGCGAAAGGGTAATAGCTAGTATTTAATGAGGATTTCCACACAATCTTATTTAGTATGCACATCATCCGGATGAGGACACCGGACCATGGGACTGAATAACTTGCCCAAGGTCGCACAGTTAATAGCGGGTGGCGGAGTCCGGGTTTGAACCCAGGGCTTAAATTCTGAACCAGATGGTGTGGAGAGAACAATGAAAAAGTGGTGCTGGGGAGAATGGAGAAAAACCGCGCAGGGAATGTGCGTGGTTACAGGCTTTATAGTTCTGTAACTGTCGGGTTGGAACCAGTTCGGAGGAGTTAGGCTAGCGGCTCCATGCGTTGGAGCAACTTCGTGGGAGCGTGCCATAAAGCAGCTCACACTAACACACTGCTCCGAAGCACTTAGGTGCATGTTAGCTAGTGCTCTAGCAGCCACCACTGATTGCTAGGTGTCACCGACCTCCAGCACTGCCCTCTCCCATTAGTGGCAGTGAGCAGTGGGAGTCCAGTACCAAGTCAGGCATTAGGTCTTGCTACTCAAAGTGCAGTCTGGAGTCCAGCTGCATATCTGCAGTCCTGTACTTTCTGCGTCCAGCTTGATGACACAAATGCAGAATCTTGGACCCCACCCTAGAACGTCTGAATGGGAATACGCATACTAACTAGATCCCTGGGTGATGCCTATGCATGTTAAAGCACTATTGTCAAACAAGGTATCCGACTCCCTTGGTGAGGCAGGTGGGATGGTAGAAAGATGTGAACTTGCAGAGCTGGATGGTGGGAGGGCAGACAGGGAGGAAGAAGGTCTGGAAGAAGGGTTTAAAAAAAGCATCCAAGGGGTGCCTGGTTGGCTCAGCCGGTGGAGCATGCAACTCTTGATCTTGGGGTTGTAAGTTGGAGCCCCAAGTTCAGTGTAGAGATTACTTAAAAAAAAACCTTAAAGCATCCAATAAGGAGTATCAGAAAATATCACAAAATGCAAAGGAAGAAAACTAGGAAATCAGAATCTGGGAGATAAAAAAAAGAATCAGGTTAATGGGTAAGGTTTTTCTCTGTGGTTGGTTTTTCTGTGTTATATGTGACGCATTCTTGAGAGGGTCCAGGTCATTCAAAGTGCTGGAGGAGAGCAATCCCTGCCCATTCTCTCACCTTCAGCAGATACAGTGGGATTTCCCTGGGTTATTCTAGCAGAGGGTAAGTTCTGGGCCCTGACGGGGGAACCAGACGCTGACGGAACAGTGCCTCTTATTTGACATACACAGGTTGCATTCTGTAAGTGGCCAGAGCTAGGGGCCACCTACTCACGCAGGGGGCTGGAGTGTGTGTGGTGTGTGTGCATGTGTGTGCACATGTGGGCTGGAGGGAAGCACAGGTTATTGGCAGACCGGACATAACAGGAATCTGTGAAAGACAGGATGGACTTCTGTGACTGGGAATTGCTGGGCCGAAAAGGCCAAAGGGCTGATGACATCTGGTACCTTGAGAGAGCCAGGTGGCAGGCCTACAGACCTTCGCTTAGGTGGGTGGTTCTTGGAGTCAGATTTTCAGGAGGTCTCTGAGTGGCCTCTTACTCCGCTAAGCTAGCAAGCTGCTAAGATGACAGCAGTTCTGGTAGAAGCAGGGACGAGACAGGTTAGAACCAAAGTGCTCCAGCTGGATGAGTAGCAAGTTGTTCTCATGGTGTCCACAACATTAGGGGTGCAGCCACGTTGTCTGGAGAAGTTAAGGCAACATCCCTCTTAGACCTTTTAATTTACTCAGTCTAAGGATGATCAGTCTGTGTAGTAAACAGGTGGCTATGTGAACATGGAAGGTTTTGAGCTGTTCACTCCAGAATACAAATGGTGGCTGCAATGTTGAAAGGCAGCAGCTGAACAGCCATCTCCCAGGAATGGGAGATTCCTATGACTAACGGAGGTGGTGTACAATGGATAGCAGGTGCAAGTGTGGATGGGTGGGGAGGCAGGTGGGTGCAGGGTTTGAAGAGCCCTTTTCTGGTGAAGTATCTAGGATCACTCTGTAGTGGTAGTGTGGGGTAAATCTGAAATGAGGTCAATGCTGGTGGTGTCCCAGAGGTGTTTGGATGTTGAGAGTGGGTGCAGCAGTCCCATTGGTTGGTACTCCTAGGCCCATGCTTGACCTGTTAGAAAGGATGTCAAGTTATAGAACAGTAACCCTAACTCTGAACCCTATTCCAGATTTTGATGGGCTGTGATGGTACGCTGGGGTGGTCCTGGGTGAAGACCTTAACACTTGAGTGTGCGCCTCTTTGGGTGGATCATTTGCCCCAGCCATGTGTTTTATGGCCTCGATGGTGCTTCTTGTCCCTGTGGCTGTAGTCAAGTACTGCTAGACCCAGGCATTGCTTGTTACTCACAGATCTGTCTTGGTCAAAAAGCTGTGACTACCATCCTCAAAGTACTCAGGTTGAAGGGTTTCTTGAATGGGCCAACCACTATGTTTCCTTAGGTGTTCTTCCTTTTCTGGTACGCTCTGCTTCACCTAATTTTAATTTCTCCTCTTTATATGCAGACCCTTTCTCCTTTAAAGCCCAGTGCAAGTTCTAAGTTCTCTGTGGACCTCTCTGGAGTCTCTTCAAGGAATTCCACCACTGCCTAAAGCATTGTGAGCTCTCCTCACACACTATCCCCTCAATCACACAGGATAGACACTTAATTTGCCTACCCCCCCTTAGGGGCCCAGCTCCCCCTTTTACCAAAAATGCCCATCAGAGTCTTTCCTCTGGGTCTTTGCCCTTTGGATGAGAGACAGAGCAGAGCAGTCAGTCCTGCTCTAGTGTGGAAGAAGTCATACTTTCAGGTGCCTCAGGAGTCACAATTCTGGCCAGAGAGAGCTGCTCAGTGCTAAGAGTGAGTGAAACCCCAGGAGAGACAGTGATGGGTCACATGGGCGAGGGCTCCAGGGTTCCTGAGGCCTAGTCACATCCCAGTGCCACCACACGACAGCTGTCCAGCCCTATGTTAGAGTCCATGAACCAGTCATTCATTCTCATTTTTGCCTGAGCTGGTTAGAGTTGGGGTTTTGTTACAGTCAAAAGAAAACCAAGAGCCTCCTTTATATGGATTTTTCTTGTGTTCCCAAGGACAATGAATTACAAGGAATTTATATCAAAGAAACATGATAAAGTAGAAAGAACATGTCCTTTGCAGTAAAATGAAACATTATTTTTAATGCTGTTTCCAGCAAGATAACCTCAGAGAGGCTGTCTCTTTAACTTAAAAGAAGGGGTAAGGCCTAAATTCAAAGAACGATGAGGACTAAATGAGAAAAATGATTGGGAACGTAAATGAGAGTGCCTGGGACATAGTAGGCATATAGGATATGTTCATTCCCTTCTTTTCTCCCTGAACACAGGCTTCCACTCCTGTTTCTTTCAGTATCTCCATTCTGTGATCAATGAACTCAGCAATAAGAATTGAATCTTACTGTTAGTCTTTTTTGAGAATAGAGAAGGAAATAAATATCAATGAAATAAGCAATTAGAAGCCTTAGTTTGAAATGTCAATATTCCCTTGACACATGGACCTCTTTTTCCTATTTCACTATTACTGAAATCTCCCCAAAGGTTTATAATTTTATCGTCAGGCCAACATGATACATACTTTGGAAAAACTAGTGACATTGTGCTTTATTTGAGAACAAGATAAAAGGGCATGACTGGAACTCTGTCAGGATGGTCCTTAACATTCTGCCCTAACCAGGGTATTATTAACTTTCCAACGCTGTTGGTGTAAGGCGGAGTGCTGCTAACTTCTTAAGAGAATTAGAAAAAGGTTGAAACAAATTCTAAATGGGAGTCCTTGAAGAAGGAAAGTGAGCTGGTTTCCTTTTTGTTCCTTTAAAAATTCTAGCTAGAAATATCACCCAATTTATAATGAAGACTATACACAGCAGCACCAAAAAGGCCATTTACAAGAAGAGTTTTTCTTCAAAAGAATCCACTCGAATGCGCTGAGAAATTGTATCTTAGCTAAGAGCAGTTCACTAAGGAACAGGGCCATCTAAATGCCTAACTAGTACTGAAAATTGTCAAGGGGTGGGGATGTGCAAATTTAGCAGCAAAAGACTGTTTCATTTTGCCTCAAGGGAAAGTGATGGTGGTCAGAGGGGCCAGTTCCAAGGGCTGGTCCAGTGGCGGCCGCTGGTCTTGGTACTCTGCAACATGCCCATTTCGGTGGTGACCATACTCAAACTTGATCCGCAGCTCGCCAATCTTGGATTGGGGAAGGATATCTGGGATCCACTCAATGATGAAAGGTGTTGGCTCCTTTTGATCTGGGGAAGTGTTGCCTGAAGACAAAGAAAGAAATGAAAGAAAGAAAGAGAGGGAGGGAGGGAGGAAGAAAGGGAAAGGAAGAAAGGGAAAGCAAGCAAGCAGGGGGGAGGGGAGGGGAAGGGAGGGGAAGGGAGAAAGGGAGGAAGGAAGGAAGGAAGGAAGGAAGGAATACTGATTAGTACCATTCCAAAATTTGAGGATGGACAGATGTTACTCTGTTCAGGAATAAAAAAAGAAGAAAATGAAAAAAAAAAAAAACAACACAACAAACTAAGAGAAAAACAGGAAGAATCAAGGAAAAGGAAAAGTGCTTACTGGTATACCTATCCAAAAGAAAATTTCAGGGAGGGCGCCTGGGTGGCTCAGTCGTTAAGCATCTGCCTTCGGCTTAGGTCATGATCCCAGGGTCCTGGGATAGAGCCCATGTTGAGCTCTCTGCTCAGTGGGGAGTCTGCTTCTCCCTCTGCCTACTTTCCTGCTCTCTCACTCTCTCTCTCTCTCAAATACATAAATAAATAAATACATACATAAATAAAATCTTTAAAAAAGAAAAAAAGAAAAACTCTGGTTAAAGAATGCTTTTGAAAAAATATAAAACACTAGCAGAATTAAAAATAATACAGTATAGCTTTCAAATACAGTATAGGCATCTGACAGCTCAGTCAGCAGAGTGTGCAAATCTTGATCTTGGGGTCGTGAGTTCAAGTCCCATGTTGGGCACAGTGCTCACTTTAAAAAAAAAAAAAGGAAAGAAGTTTTGACACATGTTCCAACATGGATGAACCTTAAGGACCTTATGCTGAGTGAAATAAGCCAGTCAGAGAAAAGACAAATACTGTATGAGTCTACTTAGATGAGGTACCTAAAGTAGTCAAATTAATAAACACAAAGTAGAATGGTGGTTGCCAGGGACCAGGGGAGAGGTGAGAGTGGGGAGTTACTCTTTAATGGGTACAGTTTCAGTGGAGGAAGACAAAAAAGTTCTGGAGACGGATGGTAGTGATGGTTGCACAATGTAAATGTACTTAATGCCTAAGAACCATACATACACTTAAAAAAATTTATATTATGTATGTTTTATGACAAAAAAAGTTAAAAAATAATGTTGAAAATAGACATGGAAAGCTGTTCATGATATATTTTTATGTTAAAAAAGCAGCTGGGGTGGGCGCCTGGGTGGCTCAGTCGGTTAAGCGACTGCCTTCGGCTCAGGTCATGATCCTGGAGTCCCGGGATCGAGTCCCGCATCGGGCTCCCTGCTCCGCGGGGAGTCTGCTTCTCCCTCTGACCCTCTTCCCTCTCGTGCTCTCTGTCTCTCATTCTCTCTCGAATAAATAAATAAAATCTTAAAAAAAAAAAAAAGCAGCTGGGGGATGATCCCATGCTTTATAAATTCTTTTCATGCACAGAAGAGAGTCTGAAAGGATAGATACCAAAATCTACTGGTGATGTCTTTTTTTTTTCTTTTAGATTTATTTATTTATTTATTTGACAGAGAGAGACACAGCGAGAGAGGGAACACAAGCAGGGGGAGTGGGAGAGGGAGAAGCAGGCTTCCCGTGGAGCAGGGAGCCCGATGTGGGGCTCGATCCCAGGACCCTGAGATCATGACCTGAGCCGAAGGCAGACGCTTAACGACTGAGCCACCCAAGCATCCCACTTCTATTCTATTCTATTCTATTTATTTTTAAAGACTTTATTTTTACATAATCTCTACACCCAACATGGGACTTGAACTTACAACTCCGAGATCAAGTCATGTGCTCCACCGACTGAACCAGCTAGATGCCCCCTATCATTTATTTATTTATTTATTTTTAAAAAGATTTTATTTATTTATTTGAGAGAGAGAATGAGAGAGAGAGCACATGAGAGGGGGGAGGGGCAGAGGGCAAAGCCGACTCCCTGCCAAGCAGGGACCCTGATGCGGGACTCGATCCCGGGACTCCAGGATCATGACCTGAGCCGAAGGCAGTCGCTTAACAACTGAGCCACCCAGGCGCCCCCCGCATCATTTAAGTCAATTAAATTAATTAATTTATTTTTTGGAGAAAAAGAGAGAAAGAGCCTGTGCACAAGTAGGGGTTAAGGAGGGGCAGAGGGAGGGAGAGAAAGAGAACCCCAGGCAGGTTCCACACCTAGCCAGAGCTTGACGCCGGGCTCGATCTCATGACCCTGAGATCATGACCTGAGCGGAAATCAAGAGTCAGATGCTTAAGTGACTGAGCCACCCAGGCGCCCCTGTAATTTTATTTTAAAAGCATTGTTTCAAAAGACACAAAACACTTTATTTCATGAACGCCTTTACAAGATGAATGAATATTTGTTTAAGGTCAAGATCCAAAGTCTAGGACAGTGCGATGCACACAGCTGACCCTCTAAGGAAGATGCACTATTGAAAGCACAATTTCACTTACCAACTTTGAGAAAGGTTTTTAGTTCCAAGGGTCGCAACACAGGTTGCTTTTCTATACGACCATAGGTTTCTGCTATGCTCTCTACTTCCACTTTAGGGCATTTAAACAGCTCATAAGTCCCATCCCGGTTCTGGATAAAACTCCGAGTGATTTCCAAGGGCATCTGGACAAGGAGACAATACCAAAAAAAGGTAAGAAAGGAAAAACTCAAAGTAGACAAACATTTGGATGATGACAGATCTTTTACTTACTCTTTTTTGTTAAGTACACTCCAATTAAAACTTCCTCTTGTATTTTCAAGCAAACGCTGTCAACTAATCTGCCTTTTCTCCTTTATGTCATTCACGGCTTTCCTTTTTCTTCTGTAACTTTAAGTTGAACCCTAGCCAAAGTATATATGAACTGAACCCCTAATATCTTCACGCCTATTCAATGGCTACTGGCATGGACTTGCTCTCAAATCCGTTTTATTCCTTCCCCTGCCGTTCTGCTAGCATCATTCTCCTCCTAGAAGCCCTACTGATAGTGCCTGTAGCTGACCTCACACCTTGCATGCTTCACACCATCCTTGGGAGTGAGCCAGACAGAACTTGAACTGGTCTTTGCCACTAAACAGCACGGTGAGCTTCTCATGGCCTGTTTCTCATCTGCAGAATACAGTTAATGCCAACGCATGGCTGTGAGTCTGAATGAGGTGATGCAGGTAAGTAATGGCCAGCAGACCGACACGCCACAATTCTTAGCTCTCTTCCCTCGCCTGACAGTGCCTCCCTGAACCCCTGCTCTAGGCCAGAAACTGTCTCTGTGACACTGACATTTAAAGAGTTTCTCAAATGTCTTTAGTGCTAACACAGGCCTTTTCTAGGGCTCACAATTAAGTTCTATAGCTTCCCAACAACTTATTTTTTTTTCTGAATGTAACAACGCTTTGCAATCAAGCTAATCTTAATGTATCCAATCATACTATGCTGAATTTTCTACATTATTCCATTACTGTAGGAAGGGAAAACCCTCAAATTTTCAGGATCTGCTTGAAAAAGAAAATGTTTAAAAATGTCTATTTCCCTTGCAAAAAAGAGCACAAACTAATTAAGGGTCATTTCTCTAATGAGGACTAAACTGCAGTTTGTGGAGAAGCCTTTAATTGTGCTGGGTTCACTGACTTTACAAATAGTGTATCACCTCAAATTATTTATATACTTTCTAGCCCCCGGCCAGTTAATCTAGGGCTCACCATAGCTAGTAGGGGTTCGTTATTTAATTTACAAGAAAAATGATCTCTGTTTTCTGATCCCAAAGGCGGAGAAAAGGAATACTCCAACTTAGGATACTTTTTCAAGCCATAAGAAATAGCCATTAAAATCACAGCACCAGACAGCTAAGGATATTTCTGAATAATCTCTTAGTAGGAGAAAAAGCAATTCTCTTTGGTGTCTATAACTCAAAGAACTGGTGCAAACACACTTCTCGCACTTGTTTCTCTCTCTCCCCCCCTTGCCCTCCTACTATTGCAGGAACACCCTCTTACCTCTGGAGTATCTAAGATTTGTTTAACTTGCAGGATATTAGTGATATGCCAGGTATACTTGGAAAAGGTTCCCAGTGGCAAGGCATCTTTCCGAACAAAAGCTTCAATGTAAAAAGGGAACATGATTAGACTACCAAAAAATAACATTCTCTTTCATTGTACATGTTATCCAGTTTCTAGAAAGTTCGGTGCAGTGCTAACCTCTCCTTATAGAATCTCAGCATTTTGAAGAAGAAATTCTAGAGGCAAATCTATAATGGGTTTCGCAAAATGTGATAAATGATATGGATTTCTGCTAAATAAAGCCTCTGATGCTTCTTTGAGATACTACTTTATTTTTGCTACCTTAGAAACTTATTTCTTGGGTGCCTGGGTGGCTCAGTTGGTTAAGCGACTGCCTTCGGCTCAGGTCATGATCCTGGAGTCCTGGGATCGAGTCCCACATCGGGCTCCCTGCTCAGCGGGGAGTCTGCTTCTCCCTCTGACCCTCTTCCCTCTCGTGCTATCTCTCATTCTCTCTCTCTCAAATAAATAAATAAAATCTTAAAAAAAAAAAAAAGAAAGAAACTTATTTCTTAAACAACAACAAAAAAAGAAACTTATTTCTTTGTTTGATACAGCTACACACACTGGGCTCCATTATAAGATAGCCTCTTACGATCTCTTACAACTTCAGATATATCAGAGGTCAAATTATAGTTCTTAAAAGGATTATATGGAGTTTAAGCCAGTTAATGTGGTTGCCAATCTGTTGCCTTGCCTGCAGGGTTAAAAAGGGTTTCACGAAAGGGCCTGCAAAAATAGCGAAGGGATGGGTTAAAATTAATGTATTAGGAGGCCTAAAGTTTAACGTGAAAGAAAGAACGCTGCCTCAGATAGATAAGCTGTAAAGACAAAATTTTTATGGCCCTAAACTGATTCACAGCTTGGACTATTCAAAGATAGAATTAAACCTCAAACAGTCCCTGTCACATCGTCAAATAACTACTAACTAAAGAAACAGCATTGATTTCCAGCTGTGGTTATTCTTGGGCTATTTGCCACTGAGCCATCCTTTCTTCCTCCTTTTCTCCCTCTTACTTCCTTACACTACCTAATAAGTATCTTGACATTTCTAGTAGAAGATGTAATGGAAAACCAAGAAATATGCACCACAATAATGCAAATATAAGGGTTCCAAGCCTAAGAATTACTCTAAAAATAAAATCTTCCTTCATCAAAAATTGGGAGTCATGAAAAACAAGTCTGTTTGTTTGTTTTTAAAGATTTTATTTATTTATTTGACAGAGAGAGGGATTACAAGTAGGCAGAGTGGCAGGCAGAGAGAGAGCGAGAAGCAAGCTCCCTGCTGAGCAGGGAGCCCGATGTGGGGCTTGATCCCAGGACTCTGGGATCATGACCTGAGCCAAAGGCAGACGCTTAACCAACTGAGCCACCCAGACACCCCAACAAGTGTTTTTTTTTTTTTTTAATTTTATTTCTTTATTTGACAGAGACACAGCAAAAGAGGGAACACAAGCAGGGGGAGTGGGAGAGGGAGAAGCAGGCTTCCCCCAAAGCAGGAAGCGTGATATAGGGCTCAATCCCACGACCCTGGGATCATGACCCGAGCCAAAGGCAGACGCCTAACGACTGAGCCACCTAGGCACCCCAAGTTTTTGTTTTTGATACATACTATTGTATGCCTATAAGACGCCAGCCCAAATAATGATTGGAGACTGCAATGCTTTTGTTGAAATGGGTTCATATCTAAAAATATCAAACTTCAGGGCACCTGGGTGGCTCAGTCAGTTAAGCGTCTGTCTTCGGCTCAGGTCATGATCCCAGAGTCCTGGGATCGAGTCCCAAGTTGGGCTCCCTGCTCTGCGGAGAACCTGCTTCTCCCTCCTCCTCTGCCCCTCCTCCCAGCTCATGCTCATGCTCTGTCTCTCTCAAATAAATTAATAAAATCTTTTTAAAAAAATAAATTTAAAAAAATATCAAACTTCTTGGTGGGCACCCTTATTGCACTTCATTGTTCTTTTACCAGGTTTGTGCTTTCTGAATCTTTCCATTACCTCTTACTGGAATAAGTATGGGGCCTTTGAGGAGGGTGATCATTATTCCAAGAGCTGACTGGCTAAGGCTTCATGCTCTGAGCATGTGACTCAAAGTCCTAATCCTGAAAATTCCACATGGTTTTTCTAAACATAATTCTTTAAGGTCAAGACATCTACTGCTGTTCCTGAGGAAAAAAATCCCATACCTGTAGTGGAGTTGGGAAGCCGTTTCTTTGCACTTCCTATAGATATTCTTTGTTGCAGGGCATCGAAAAAGGACTGAGGAATGTGGAACACCAGTGGCTCTGGTTTGCCTACAGCAAATAAGAAGAAACTCATTTAGAGAAACTCAGTGGGCTTTCTGACATGTAGGGAGAAGTGCAAGAAATGGAACTGGGTGGCAATAATAACTAAAACTGCCACAGAGGCTGCTTTATACAGAAGCAAAAGAAGGCTTTGATTGACCTTTATGAGTCAAGCACTGTTACCAGCCCTACTCTTGGTCCCTCATAATTGTAACAAATACAGCAGGCCCTTGTCATCCACCGAAGATAACATTTTAAATCCCCTGTTTCGTAAACACCACCGCAGCCCAGACCTTTCCCTTTAAAGAGTATATGAAATGAGATGAGAACAATGAGGCTGAGTTGAGAAGGTAAACTTGATTCATTCCTGTTCACTGTCCCCAGGCCTTTGCTATGTGCATTCATGTCCAAGCAAAGTAACTGCAAGCTCCCACTCAGATGGTCTGGGTCATGAGTACTGCAGACCCCAAAGTCAGGACACTGTTTATCCAATAAGCATTGGCCTTTCTCTCTGAATATGATCTCAAAGCAGGCAAAATGTTTGAAAATACTTAACAAACCTCTTAAAGAAACTTGCAAGACACAAGGGTCAACAAAAAGTCTGCAGCAAGAGTGTTCAGGGGGAGGGGTCAGAAGAGTTCAGACTTTTTCCTTAAAAATTGTCCAAGGGGAGGGCAGCGTCTGGCTGGCTCCATGGGTAGAGCATGCAACTCCTGATCTCAGGGTCATGAGTTCAACTTCCACACTGGGTGTAGACCTTACTTAAAAAATAAAATAAAATCAGGGCACCTGAGTGCTCAGTCAGTTGGCATCTGGCTCTTGGTTTTGGCTCAGGTCATGATCTTGGGGTCATGGGATTGAGCCCTACATCGGGCTCCACGCTCAGCAGGACATCTGCTTGGGATTCTCTTTCCCTCTGCCCCTCTGCAACCCCCTCTCTACAATAAACGGATAAATCTTTAAAAAACAAAAAACAAAAAACTACCCAACAGGCTAGCCCCAACAGAGGGGAAACAACCAGAACCACTACCTGCCTGGATATAACTTAAGAGTGGCTCTTAGGGGCGTCTGGGTGGCTCAGCTGAGACTCCGACTTGGGATTTGGGCTCAGGTCATGATCTCAGGGTCCTGAGATCAAGCCCCCTGTCGGGCTCCATGCACAGTGCGGTGTCTGCTTAAGACTCTTTCTCTCTCTACCCTACTCTCTCTCTCACTCTTTCCCTAAATTAAATAAATAAATCTTAAAACAAAAACAAAAACAGAATAGAACTACCATGTGCAATGACATGGATGGAGCCAGAGAGTATAATGATAAGCAAAATAAGTCAGTCAGAGGAAGACAAATACCATACGACTTTATTCATATGTGGAATTAAGAGACAAAACAAACGAGCAAAGGGAAAAAAGAAGAGACAAACCAAGAACCAGTCTCTTTAACTATAGAGAACAAACAGATGGTCACTAGAGGGGAGGTGGGTTGGGGGATGGGGGAAATAGGTGATGGGGATATAAGAAGTGCACTTGTGATGAACACTGGGTGAGGTATGGAATCGCTGAATCACTATTTTGTACCTGAAACTAATACAACACTGTATGCTAACTATACTAGAACTAAAATAAAAACTTAATTAAAAAAACCCAGAATAGAACTACAACACAATTGGGCGCCTGGGTGGCTCAGTCATTAAGCGTCTGCCTTCAGCTCAGGTCGTGATCCTAGGGTCCTGGGATCGAGCCCCACATTGGGCTCCCTGCTCAGCGGGAAGCCTGCTTCTCCCTCTCCCACTCCCCCTGCTTGTGTTCCCTCTCTCGCTGTCTCTGTCTCTGTCAAATAAATAAATAAAATCTTAAAAAAAAAAAAAAGGAACTACAACACAATTACTTTAATTTCTCCTCCTTTCAGCAATAGCCAAGTTAGGTGACCAATACTTACCATCAAACTGATAGTGCATGGTTTGATGGATGCGTTCTGTGACGCTGGCCAGCCAGTCTTGGAAGGATAAGGTCACTTGTGCCTCATCCAACAGCTGACCGGAGGCTAGGAAAAACAAACAAAAAACTTTTCAGTAACTTATCTTTTTTTACAGAAACAACAGTTAGCTGAAGTTTGAAAAAGCTGAGGATTTTATACAGAAAAGGGCAATAAGTTCAAATTCAAAGAAATTTAGATACATTAAGTAAAATGGAAGATTCTATGTTTTTGTTTTTGATTTTTAAGAATCCTTCTAGAAAAAAGAAAGTGAAAAGCTGTGGCGATACTAATGGGTTTAAAATTATTAACCATAGTAAGTTTGCAGCCTTTCAACATTAAACTGCAAATTGAAGGGGTGTCTGGCTGACTCAGTTGGTAGAGCATGTAACTCTTGATCTCGGGTTGTGAATTCAAGCCCCATGTTGGGTATAGAGATTACTTAAAAATAAAATCTTTGAGGGGCACCTGCGTGGTGTGGTCGGTTTTGGCTCAGGTCCTGATCTCAGGGTCATGAGATCAAGCCCCACGTCGGGCTCTGCACTCAGTGTGGAGTGTGCTTGAGACTCTCTCTCCTTCTCCCCTTCCTCCTTGCTCTCTTTCTCTCTCATAAATAAATAAATCTTAAAAATAAATAAATAAAATCTTTGAAAAACAAAATAAAATCTCTGGGAAAAAAGTCAGCCGCAAATTGAAGAACAGCCTTGTACAACGGCTGCTTTATTTTTTTATTTATTATCTTATTTTATTATTTTATTTATTTTATTATTTATTTTATTTATTTATTTTATTTTATTTATATTTTATTTTATTTTTTATCTTATCTTATCATTTTATTTTATTTTATTTTATTTGTCAGAGAAAGAGCACAAGCAGGGAGAGTAGGAGGCAGAGGGAGAGGCAGGCTCCCCACTGAGCAGGGAGCCCGATGCGGGACTCGATCCCAGGATCCTGGGATCATGACCTGAGCCTAAGGCAGATGCTTAACCAACTGAGCCACCCAGGTGCCCCTAACGGCTGCTTTAGAGATCTATAAATCAGGAGATAATGATGCCATAGCTACTATTCATTTGAAACTAAATTCTCATTAGGTAAATGTATATAGCGACAATTTGGGTAAAAAGCTATTTTATTCTATTTTATATTTTCTTTGCACCAAAGGAAGTGATGTTAAAAATCTTCTAACTGGGGCGCCTGGGTGGCTCAGTCCGTTAAGCATCTTGCTTCAGCTCAGGTCATGGTCTCACGGTCCTGGGATGGAGCCCTGCATTGGGCTCCCCACTCAGCGGGGAGTCTGTTTGTCCCTCTCACTCTGCCCCTTCTCCTGCTCATGCTCTCTCCCTCTCTCAAGTGAATAAATAAAATCTTAAAAAAAAATCTTCTACCTGATATATTTTTTTAAGTTCAAGTCATATATATACATATATATGTATATATATTTAAGATTTTATTTATTTATTTATTTGAGAGAGAGAGACAGAAATAACGACAGAGATAGTGAGAGAGAGCACAAGTGGTGAGGAGAGGGAGAAGCAGACACCCTGCTGAGCAGGGAGCGCAACTGGGGCTCTATCTTAGGACCCTATGATCATGACCCGAGCCAAAGGCAGCCACTTAACTGACTGAGCCACCCAGGCACCCCCTACCTGATATTTTTGATCACACTCCCTGACCTTCTGGAACCTAAATGTTCCAGGAACATTTATTCCTGGAATGTGTAAGTTCTTAATTGGTTAATTATAATTTGGTCTTGTATTATTTGCTATTTATGTACTGGTCTTGTCTTCAAAACCAGAGTATGAGAGCAGGAATGATGTCTGGTTTTTTTTTTTTTTTAAAGATTTTATTTATTTATTTGAGAGAGAGAGAATGAGAGATAGAGAGCACGAGAGGGGGAAGGGTCAGAGGGAGAAGCAGACTCCCTGCTGAGCAGGGAGCCCAATGCGGGACTCGATCCTGGGACTCCAGGATCATGACCTGAGCCGAAGGCAGTCGCTTAACCAACTGAGCCACCCAGGCGCCCCTGATGTCTGGTTTTTAATCACCCAGCCATAATATATGAGAGTTAAGAAAATGTTGATCCCCAAATGTATAAATTTAATTATTCTGATTAGAAAGGTAAATATATGTTATGTTCAAATTAAGTCATTTTGTCTCATAAGTTCAGAATGATACCCATGCTATTACTTTTCATGTTTTCAAACTTAATTTTTTTTAACACACGTTGACTTTTATTTTATTTATTATTTTTTAAAGTAATCTCTACGCCCAATGTGGGGCTCGAACTCACAACCCTGAAATCAAGAGTCGCATGCTCTACTGACTGAGCCAGCCAGGCACCCCCAAATTTATAACTTTGGAGAACAGATTATATTTGTCTTTCTCAACAAATATTTATCACTGCACAATTATAAAATATGTTTCTTCTTCAACTTTGAGACTCCATACCAACTGCATGTGGGTAATAAGCAACAAAAGGAAAATATCCTACAGAACATGTGCTGCCAAGACACGAAGTAATTTTTACTGCATTTCTTATTTAAAAGACACGATTTGGTTTTGACTAGGATTGGAAGCCAGTGGGACAGAACAGACCTCAGCCTCAGTGCCTGCTCCTGTTTATCTTAGCACTCTCTGGGGGATAACATGCAACATTTCTTTCCATTATATCGCTTTGGGCTTCTTTAGGATGATTTCCACCTCTTTAGCCTACCCTGGGGAAGGGAAACTTACCCTGCCTTTTTAATGAAGAAGCAACCACAGGTTTTTTCAGGCCACCTTTCCTTAGATGACTGCTCGTTGCATCCTGAGACAGTAGTGAACTGTTCGTCTGTGCACCTAAACCACAAACCATTACAGTGTTTAATAACATGTCTGCAGAAGAGAAATTGATTCAATATTAATTTCTGAAGAGTCTAAGATATAAAAAATCTTTGTTAATTTCTAAGTTAGCTTCAGTTTCTAGAAGGAATTAGCATTAGACTTTATACATAACATTTTAAGTTTCATATGCTCTTTACAGGAAATCGGGGTGTGGGTGAGGGACCTAGAAGTGAAAAAAAGAAAAAAAATTTGCCCACTGCTCCCACCTCTCAGAAAATCACTATCAATTTTCTGGTGAACTATTGTCTTGTGTGTGTGTGTGTGTATGTAAATAGTTGATTTTACTTATTCTGTGATTTTAAGTAACCGTGATTGTACCAGGATTGCCAAATTTAGCAAAAAAAAATTCTGAATTTCAAATAAATAGTTTTATTTTCAATATAAGTATGTTCCAAATATTGCATGGGACATACTTATACTAAAATTATTTGTATGAAACTCAAATTTAACTGAGCATTGTTTTTGCCTGAGTTATCTAAACATTTCTTTATAATTTACTTATTTATTTGACGGAGAGAGAGGCAGCAAGAGAGGGAACACAAGCAGGGGGAGTGGGAGAGGGAGAAGCAGGCTTCCCGCTGAGCAAGGAGCCCGATGCGGGGCTCGATCCCAGGACCCTGGGATCATGACCTGAGCTGAAGGCAGACACCCAACAACTGAGCCACCCAGGTGCCCCAATAATTCTTTTTTAAAAAAAAGATTTATTTATTTTAGAGAGAGTGAGTATGTGTGCATGCACAAGCAGGGGTAGGGGTGGAGGGAGAGAGAATCTCCAGCAGACTCTACGCTGAGCGTGAAGCCTGACACGGGGCTCAATCCCAGGACCCTAAGATCACCACCTAAGCCAAAACCAAGAGCTAGACATTCAACTGACTGAGCCACCCAGGCACCCCTATAATACTTCTTTATACTAATTTTTATAATTCTTTATAATAATTTTTAATGGCTGCCTGATATTCTATCAAGTAGCTTGACCATGGCTTATTTAACTATCCCTAGTGGTTGGCTCTTGTTTCTAATTTTTCAATATTATAAATATCTGTAAAATGAGTATCTGTGGACAAAATGTTTTTCCTGTATCAAGGATTATTTTCTCATAAAAGATTATTCATAACCCCCTATTCACACACATGCACACACACTCTCTCTCTCTCACATAAATAAATTGGGGCACCTGGGTGGCTCAGTTGAGCATCTGCCTTCGGCTCGGGTCATGATCCCAAGGTCCTGGGATCAAGCCCCGCGTCAGACTCCCTGCTCAGCGGGGGTCTACTTCTCCTTCTCCCTCTGTGCTCTCTCTCTCAAGTAAATACGTGAAATCTTTAAAAAAAATAATAATAAAAGAAAATAAATAAATCTTTAAAAAAACAATTATTTAGAATCAGGTCTACTGAGTCAAAGGATAAGAACTTTCTTTTTGGGGGTGCCTGGGTGGCTCAGTTGGTTAAGTGTCTGCCTTCGGCTCAGGTCATGATTCCAGGCCCTGGGATCAAGCCCAATGTCGGGCTCCCTCCTCAGTGGAGAGTCTGCTTCTCCCTCTCCCTCTGCCCCTCCCATCTGCTCGTGCTTGCTCCCTCTTCCTCTCTCAAATAAATAAATAAAATCTTAAAAAAAAAAAAAAAGAACTTTCTTTTTGAATTTCAGGTTTTCTTGGGAAAGACCAGTAAGTAAACATCTAATGACAATCTCTGCTCTATATTGCTGCAGAATTATTTCTTAAAAACAGAAATACCCATGTCATTTTGTCTCTCCATCTTTCTCCAACATCCCAGCACCAAAACTCCTGTGCTCATATGACCATCTGACCCACCTCTAAAAATACTCTATCCACAAAAATGTTTTGGGGCACCTGGGTGGCTCAGTTGGTTGGGCAACTGCCTTTGGCTCGGGTCATGATCCTGGAGTCCCGGGATCGAGTCCTGCATCGGGCTCCCTGCTCGGCGGGGAGTCTGCTTCTCCCTCTGACCCTCCCCCCTCTCATGCTCTCTCTATCTCATTCTCTCTCTCAAATAAATAAAATCTTAAAAAAAAAAAAAAAGGACTGGAGATGTAAACTAAAAAAAAAAAAAAAAAGTTTCTACCCACATGTGTGGACTGGAATATTTTTCTTTTGTTTAGAGTCCAGGTCTTTTAATACTTATTTACTAGAACAGTATTTTCATATTGATTTATCTGACTACTTAACTGACACGGGTACATTTACATTCAAAAAGAAAAAATATACATATGGTGCCACCTATCGAAAATGAAGCTAAGAAACTACACTCTTAAATTAGTTTGGAAAATATAATTAACTGTTATCACAAATTTCTAAAAACACTCTATGGATGAAAACTTCATTACACTGTCCTAAGGCAGATTAAGGTGTAAGACTAGTTCAAATGTTTAAGGGCTAAACAACATATACAATAATAAAAGTAGAGTCTGGTTAGATCTTATACTTGGCCAAAAGAACAAACTCTTAGCTCCACTTGACAAAGAATCATCAGTGGACGAGAAAACTTTTTTAAAAAAGTTAAAAAACATAACAAACATTATTTCTGTATTTGCTAAGATTCAGTGAAACACATAAAATAGAGTAAAACAATCTCTAAAGACAACACCACTGAACAAACAACCCAAACAGTTTCTCACCAGGTACTTCCTCCTTCTTCCTCTTCTTTGGCTTAGAGGCAGTAGACTCACAAGCTGTTACTGTCGATTCTGAATGGCAACCTAACTGGGGCACAATAACCTCTTTAAGACCTAAAATACAACAGATTTCTTAATTATTTCTTTTTAAAGATTTTATTTATTTATTTGACAGAGAGAGAGAGAGACAGTTAGAGAGGGAACACAAGCAGGGGGAGTGGGGGAGGGAGAAGCAGCAGGCTTCCCGCTGAACAGGGAGCCGGATGCGGGACTGGATCCCAGCACCCTAGGATCATGACCTGAGCCGGAGGCAGACACTTAACGACTGAGCCACCCAGGCGCCCCAGATTTCTTAATTATTAATACCATCCAAGTGTAAGTATGGGCCCCTGCCTAGAGAAAAATTAATTAGTAAAAAATAAATTATGGAGTGATTGCCCACTTTAAAATAATTTCCTTTAAAGAAATCCCCAAGACATAGGTTTTTGTTCATGGATCATTAACATGATAAAAGACTTTACAGAGAAATAAAACTAAAAAGTTGGGAGCTACTGCCAACTCAAGATCATTAAGAAATGAAAATAAAAACCATCTACAAGATAATACTGTTAAAAACCACAACAAAACACTTGCTGTAAGTCTTCAAAGATCTTTTGAGTTTTCCTCATCTTCAAAGATAAGAAACAAGCAAGCAACCCAAAATAAAAGGTTTTTTTGTTGTTGTTGTTTATTCTGTTTTTTTTAAACATAGGGCATCTGTGAAAAAGTGAAAAAAAAAAAGGCAAAGCAAAGCTAACTTTTGCTAGATTCATTGTTTCAGTAAAAATGCCCAAGTCTCTTGATCATTAATTTCAACCAACCAACCAACTAATCAACCAACCAACCTTTATGCAAGTGTGCTGACTGGGATTAAAAGAAGGAATGCTTTTCATTTGAATTATCTAGCAACTGCTTCTGAAGGTTGCTAGGACAATCTCCAAATGCCATCAGTGGAACTCTTTCATTGCCATTTTAGAAAAACAGAGTAACTGTGTCAACACACCACCTACCGCTGGAATCAAAATTTAGGAAGTCTGAGAATTCCTGAGCCAATGTCTCGTCACTGGCAAAGGCACAGATGCAAGCAAAGAAATGAATACATCTCTGGGCCACCTCATCCTTGGAGGCGTTCGACTTGTGTGATTTCAGAGCCTGGCAGGAGCAGAAGAACCGGCGCTCGGGCAAGCTTTTGGCACTGATTTTCTGCACAAAGGATGTATGCAAATACCCCAAACTGTGCTTCTGGCTTGCCTTGCATTTCACCACCAGAATGTTTTTGGTAATCCTCTGTACGAGGGGACCTGTGGGTTCCGTGGCCAGTTGCCAGATGGTTTGCTTGGTTTCTGGGGAGGCCTGCATTGCATTCAGGACCGAGCTTTTCAGAGTCAGAGGGGTGGCTTCTGCCTGGCAGTTCACCGCCAGCTTGATGTGCTGGCACTGATTTTCCACTACGCCCTGGGTGGTAGCTTTCAGGCATGAGGGGACATAACACCGTCCGGAGCTCAGCTGAGTGATGATTGTCCCGTCCACCGTCTGGATTGTCGTCTCTGACACGCCTAGCTCCACAAAGCATCGGTGATCGGGGCCCCGGTCTCTTTGCCGCACTGAGTAAACCTGCAGATCGGAGCCTGTGATGATTTTGACAGCTTCAACACTGGGCTGCTTCCGTGCCCCGTAGCGGAATATGGTTCCACATGTCTTGTTCTTGCAGCTCAGTCCCCGGGTTCCATTGTATGTGCCGCATCGGGGACACTTTCTGATTCCCCTCAATGTGGCCTTCCCCAAATCAGACAAGAAAGCTGGGACTTTAGTCCTTAGAGAGTTGGGTTCCATTTCTCAAAGGCCCTAGAAAAAGCAATAAGCCCATCAGCATGAATATACATTCATATACACACATACACAAAGTTAAAATCATTTATGATATTTAGTACAGAAAGTAAAATGTAAAGAGGTTAGCTACCATTTTCAAATTGTACCCTCAAACAGAACATTCACTTAAGCCATCAAACAAAAGTGAAGGAACCCTTGCCTTTCATATCATATATTTTTAAAATCCTAATATAATAACTAAAGCATTTCCCTAGGCTCAAAACGGTTTTATACAACAACCTAGATTAGTTAACCTAATTTTTACATGCACAGATGTTTAATTTGAACAAGAACTGGAGAACGGGAAAGATGAATTCTTTCCTTTCCACCATTCCCCACAAAACCCGGCGCAATCCTACCTGAATCAGCTGCCAGAGCATCTGGAAAACAGTGTAACCTGAATTCGTAAGGTGTTTCATTAGTTTGTGATCATAGAGGACAGGCAAAGACATAATCATTTGCAGAGTAAATGATACTGTTTAACCCAAAGTCTTTTGAAGTTTGAACTCTATGGTGTAACAATGCAGACATTCTGCCTCCTCCTTCTTGGCCAGCCAATGGCAAAGCTCCTGCCCAGTGTTCCAGAGTCAAAGAAGATTCCCACTGCCCTAAGTGGAGATCCTGGCAATCTATAAGTAAGACAACAAAAAATATTAAGGTTATAAAAATAGTATGATTCTCTCCTCCTAGAATAGGAATCCAAGTCTTCTGCAGGTTATTTGAAAAATATTTGACAGAAATTGTTATGGAAATGGTTGTTTTGTACTTCCAACTTAAAGCAGGTAAAACAGTGCTAATGTCATTACATCAGTAGCTGTCAAGAACACCCAGAACCATGACATATAATTGGCCAAAAACTCATCCTTCCCAATAATAATGCGTTATATTTTAGAGTGCTTTATGCTTTTCAAAGTGCTTTCACATTATTTCATTTGAACCTCACAATACTAGTATCTCATTTGAGCCAAACAACCACCACACTTCACATGAAAATTAAAAAGTTAAGGGGCGCCTGGGTGGCTCAGTCGTTAAGCGTCTGTCTTTGGCTCAGGTCACGATCCCAGGGTCCTGGGATCGAGCCCTGCGTCGGGCTCCCTGCTCCGCGGGAAGCCTGCTTCTCCTGCTTCCGCTCCCCCTGCTTGTGTTCCCTCTCTCGCTGTCTCTTTCTCTCTCTGTCAAATGAATAAATAAAATCTAAAAAAAAGAAAAAAAAAAGAAAATTAAAAAGTTAAGTAACCTGGGGCACCTGGCTGGCTCAGTCAGTAGAGCATGTGACTCTTGATCTAGGGATCCTGAGTGTGAGCCCCACACTGGGCATAAAGAATACTCTAAAATAAATAAATAAATAAAAATAAATAAAATAAAATGCTAAAAAACATTTTGAGGGGTGCCTGGGTGGCTCAGTTGGTTAAGCTTCCGACTCTTGATTTCGGCTCAGGTCATGATCTCAGAGTCTGAGATCAACCCCCAAGTTGAGCTCCGAGCTCAGCCAGGAGTCTGCTTGAGATTCTCTCTCCCCCTCTCCATCTGCCCCTCCCCTGCTCATGCTCCCTCTCTCTAAAATAAATAAATAAATCTTTAAAAAAAAGTAACTTGCCTGAGGTCACCCAGCAAAATCAGCAATGTGGTTTCCAGTGTCTGCTAAGAAGAGTGTGAATCTCGGGGTGCCTTGGTGGCTCAGTCGTTAAACGTCTGCCTTCGGCTCAGGTCATTAGCCCAGGGTCCTGGGATCGAGCCCCCTGCATCGGGCTCCCTGCTCCGCGGGAAGCCTGCTTCTTCTTCTCCCACTCCCCCTGCTTGTGTTCCCTCTCTCGCTGTCCCTGTCAAATAAATAAATAAATAAAATCTTAAAAAAAAAAAAAAAGAAGAGTGTGAATCTCTGCTTTTGATTTCCCCTCCAGTATTATGAAAATTTTCAGATGCACGAGTGGGGGGGAGGGCAGAGGGAGAAGCAGACTCCCTGCTGAGCAAGGAGCCTGACTTCAGGCTCAGTCCCAGGACGCTGAGATCATGACCTGAACAGAAGGCAGACGCTTAACTGACTAAGCCACCCAGGCGTCCCTAACATTTCAAAGTAATTTACAGGCATCAATTCAGCACTCATTAACTAAAGTTCAACTTTTTTTAAGATTTTATTTTTTTATTTTTAAGTAATCTCTACACCCAACATGGGGTTCAAACTCACAACCCCAAGATCAAGAGTCACATGCTCTACAGACTGAGCCAGCCAGGAACCCCAAAGTTCAATATATTTTTTAAGGTAATCTGCTTGTGATATTGAAATAGGCTGTTAGTATTGCTCTTGCCCCCTGACCCCGAAGGATGATCTTGATAAAATATTTTCCCTCCACATGTTCTATAGTCTATTTTTTTAAAGATTTTATCTATTTATTTGACAGAGAGAGAGACACAGTGAGAGAGAGAACACAAGCAGGGGGAGTGGGAGAGGGTGAAGCAGGCTCCCCGCTGAGCAGGGAGCTCGATGCAGGGCTCCGTCCCAGGACCCTGGGATCATGACCTGAGCCAAAGGCAGATGCTCAATGACTGAGCCACCCAGGTGCCCCATATAGTCTATTTGTTAATCAATAAATTGTAAAGTACAAGTAAGAAAAGTCTAAGACTGCTCACCTTTTCACTGGTGCTATGAATTAATCTCCCAACTGTAATATTTGTTGAGTATCCACTAAGTGAATAAAGCTTTGTGAAATATGATCTATTGCAGGATTTTTTCATCTTGGCACTACTAACATTTAGGGCTGGATAATTCTTTGTTGTGGGGAACTGTCCTATACATTGCAGAATGTTTGGTAGCATCCCTGGTCTCTACCCACTAGATGCCAGTAGTAGTCAACTCTTCCTCCCCAAGTGGTTAAAAAAATAAAAATGTCTCCAGATATTGCTGGATGTCCTCTCGGGGGGGCTAAACTACCCATTAAAATCCCCTGATCTAGAGACAGTAGCCTGTTTACACAGCATTTCCTTTCCAGGTCAATAAACTTCTTTAGTAGGTATTTTCGTTCAGCCACACAGGGGTTCTTAGAAGAGAAGGTTGTTCCAAGTCAAAAGATGAAAGATTTAGTTTGCCTTTTACCACCAATTACCTCTGTGACCAAGTTTTGTTTTGTTTTTGTTTTTTTTAAAGATTTTATTTATTTGACAGAGAGACACAGTGAGAGAGGGAACACAAGCAGGGAGAGTGGGAGAGGGAGAAGCAAGCTTCCCACCGAGTAGGAAATCACTGAACTGTTTTCCAAAACGTTTTTATATTCATACCAGCAATGTAGGAGAGTTCCTGATGCTTAACCAACTGAGCCACCCAGGAGCCCCCTGTATTCTATCTTTGCAACTTTTCTGAAAATGTGAAATTATTCTAAAATAAAGTTTATTCTTGGGGTGCCTGACTGGCTTAGTCAGTAGAGCATGTGACTCTTGATCTTGGGGTTGAGTTTGAGCCCCACATTGGCTGTAGAGATTACTTAAAAATAAAATATTTTGGGGGCACCTGGGTAGCTCAGTCGTTAAGCGTCTGCCTTCAGCTCAGGTCATGGTCCCAGGGTCCTGAGATTGAGCCCCGCATCGGGCTCCCTCCTCAGCGGGAAGCCTGCTTCTCCCTCTCCCACTCCCCCTGCTTGTGTTCCCTCTCTATTTTAGAGAGAGTGCACGTATATGCACAAGTGGAGGGGAGGGACAGAGGGAGAGAGAGAATCTCAAGCAGACTCCCTGCTGAGTACGAGCCTGATGCTGGGCTCAGTCTCATGACCCTAGGATCATGACCTGAGCCAAAATCAAGAGTCAGACACTTAACTGACTGAGCCACCCAGGAACTTCATTCAACATAAAATCTTTAAAAAAAGTTTATTCTTGGGGTGCCTGGGTGGCTCAGTCGGTAAAGTATCTGCTGTTGCTCAGGTTATGATCCAGGGTCTTGGGATCGCCTGCATTGGGCTCCCTGCTCAGCGGGGAGTCTGCTTCTCTCTCTGCCACCCCCCCATACACTTGTGCTCTGTCTTGCACGCTCTCACTCTCTCTTAAATAAATAAATAAAATCTTTTTGAAAAAAGTGTATTCTTAAAAAAAAAGTGCCATTAGTGGGAAAACTGGTGAAATCCAAATAAAGTCTGTATGTAGTAGAGTTAGTAGTGTTGTACCAGTGTTAAAACCTTAGTTTTGACAAATGTCTCATGGTTAGGTAAAATGTTAACATTTGGGACGGCTGGGTGAGGGTATATAGGAATGTCTGTATGATTTTTTATCTTTTCTATAAATCTAAAATTATCCCAAAATTAAAAGTTTTTAAAAGAAATGTACATTTGTAATTTTGAAAGATACTAACAAATTGCCCTCTACAGAGAATAATAAAAAAAGTAAAAGAAAAAAAAAGAGGAAAAAGTGGAATTCCTATGATGATGCTAAAACTATACAGAGCACCTTAAGTTTTCACCGTGATAATTGGCAAAGCAGTTCCTCCCTTAATGAGCAAAGTTTTTTTTTCTACTTTAATGATATGTTAAGTGATCATCATCAATGAATTTTTAAAATTAATTTTTGGGAAAAAATAATTTTTGTTAAGCTCTTTCATATATTTGTATTTCATATACATATATAGATATTTTTTCTATTTTGCAATTGAAAAACAACCAGAAGCTCTGAAGTTAAACTTGGTCATGGAGGGGCACCTGGGGGCTCACTCATTAAGCATCTGCCTTCGGCTCAGGTCATGATCCCAGGGTCCAGGGATAGAGCCCCACATTGGGCTCCCTGCTCAGTGGGGAGCCTGCTTCTCCCTCCCCCCGCCCCACCCCTACCCCCGGTCATACTCTCTCTCTCAAATAAATAAATAAAATCTTAAGAACAAAAAAAGAAACCTCTTTATGGAGGTATATTTTACAGACCATAAAATTCACCCATTTTATGTATACGATTCAATGATAGTCATCACATTTGTAGAGTTAGGTATCTGCCACTATAATCCATTTTGAGAACATTTCTATCACACTAAAAAGATCCCTCTGGCCGTTCACAGTCAATTACCATTCCCATCCCCAGGCAATCACTAATTTGTTTTCTTGTCTCTACAGATTTAACTTTTCTGGACATTTCATACAGATGGAATCATACAGTATGTGGTATTTTATGTCTGGCTTCTTTCACACAACATGCTGTTTTCTAGGTTCAACCACATTGTAACCTGTATCAGTATTTCATTGTCTAAATTGCTGAAAAGCATTCCATCCAATGGATATATCATTTTGTTTATCCTTTCACCAGCAGACAGATAACTGTTCTGTTTCCAATTTTTGGCTATTATGAACATGCTGCTGAGAACATTAACATGCATTTCTCTTCATTTCTCTTAGGTATCTATACACCTAGAAGTGGAATTGCAGGGTCATACGGTTTACTTTTAACTTAAGAAACCATCAAACTGTTTTCTAAGATGTTTTTATATTCATACCAGCAATGTAGGAGAGTTCCTGTTTCTCTACTTCCTGGCCAACATGTGTTATTGTCTTCTTTATTATGGCCATTGGATTATAGTAGGTGTAAAGTGGTAGGTACCTCATTGTGCTTTTAACTTGCATTTCTCTAATGAATAATGATGTTCAGCAACATACTACATGCTTATTTA